CCCCTCTCTCTCTCTCTCTCTCTCTCTCTCTCTCTCTCTCTCTCTCGCGCGCGCGCGCGCGGGCGCGCAGCTCCCCGCGCCGCGCCGCGCCTCGCAGCTGCCCAGGGCCCACGCAGCTCCCTCTCTCTCTCTCACACACACACACACACACACACACACACACACACACACTCACAATCAATCAATCAATCAATCAATCAATCAATCAATCAATATCAATCAATCAATCAAACCTTTTTTTTTTTGCAAGTTTTTTGTTTATTTATTTTTAAATTTTGTATCGTTATTTTTCTAAAACACCTCATACCCCTGCAAAGAGCAGAAATTTATTTCTAAAAAATACAGGGTAACTTAGGGACCATATATCTGATGATAAAAAATCACCAAAAAAAAATCCAACTTTTTTTTATATTTTTTATTTTATTATTTTTAAAATCAAATTTATTTTTTGATTTTTTAAAAATTCGAAACAAAGTCGGATTCCAAAAAAACAAATATGGGGTTGTAGGGCTTAAAATTCCCTACAACCCCATATATATATATATTTTTAACCAATTATTTAATTCAGGAAAATTCTGGTAAAATCGGGTCCGCGGCGCGGACCAGGTAGGCCGCGGATGCGGACCCGTCTGCGTCTGCCAACCGAGATTGGACCCGCGGACGCGTCCGCAGGTGTTACATAGGGTCAGGGAGCAGAGCGAGAAGACGTCGCAGGACATTGATGTGTCTCGTGAGTCGCTCCTGACGAGCCTGCAGAATGCTCAAGTCCAGGATAGATGACACAACGTCATCACGAGTCGTCAGCTGAGCGCTACAACGGGCTRTGCGAATGGCGCGACGCGTCGGAAGTCTCGGGAGGGAAGCGCTAGACGCGGCGGTCTATCGTATCCGGAGGATCCTCTGGTGGGGTAGTCAAAGGGGCAAACCGCGACTTGGTGATCGGAAAGCCGGCAACGTGCGAGGCCTTAGTGACACACTGCACCATGGCTAGGTGGGTGGGGCTGGCCGGGCGGGGCCGGGGGGGGACTGAGATCGACGTTGACGGGAGATGTCAGCATAGTGCCGATCGAGGGTGGTATGGTGTGGACACCGTGAGGAGGTGTGTCCATCCAGGCGGCAATGAAGGCAGCCGCGACGGGCCTCGAGGGCTGCACGCTCCTCAGGGGATAGAGCTCCGCGAGGAGGACAAAACCCTGCGGGAGGTCTATCTGAGGAACTGTGGGTGTGCGGGCGCCAGCCTGTGCAACCCGACTGCGCGCACGACCCATGGCAGACATGGCCATCTGCAGGCGCTCGCCCACCGGGACAGTGTCGTCATCCAAGTGGTACTGGATGACGCCCCGAAGCTCGATGTCCTCGGGGGCGTCCCCAATGGTAGGGTCGAGCTCGACTGAGGCGTCCTCTCCATACTCGAGAAAACTGTAGTGTCGAGAGAATGACGCTGAAGGTCGAGCCGGGCGACGAAAACGACCAGCAAACGAGGAGCGGCCTCTGGTGGGACCGCGAGATTGGGAGGTGGCGGCTGGCCGCGAAGAGGATGGGGCGGCGGAAAAGCGACTACACATCCTCTGGTACTGACCCGCAGCCTCGTATGCCTGCTCCGCAGAAGAGAATGATCGCCTCCATAGCTCTAAGCGGTAGTCAGTTGGCAGGCTAACGAGGAACCGGTCAGCGAGTGTGACCTCCGGTAGGAACGTCTCGTCATAGACAAGGCGAGCATCCTGAAACACCCGAATGTGACGCTCCAGGTCGGCCGGTACAGAGGACCCGGACCATTTGGTCTGGGTGACGCGTGACGAGCGCCGAAGCGGTCCTGAAGGAAGGCCGCGAAATCGGCCAGAGTAGGGACCTCACCCACGCGGAGGCATTAGGTATAATGATCCTCCCACGCAGTGGAAGGGCTACCTCACAATTTGGTTGCGAGCACATCGTACCACAACTCCTGACGGGTGGTCGTCATAGAGAGCGTGCGCGTTGCTATCTGCAACCAGTGAGAGACACGTGATGTGTCATCATACTCGGGAATGTCCGTGGTGCGCACAGGAGGATGTCTACTATGCTGATGGCGGGGGGAGAAAGATCGAGGCGAGTGCACTGCGGCGGCGTAAGTCGAGGCTGCTGCAGGGGCAGAGGTGGGGGAAGGCTGTGGGCCATGGCCGTTGGCGGATGGACCAGCAGACGAGGAGGCAACGACCGCGGGCAGCTGTCCCAGAATAGCCAGGTAGGAGGGAAGAGGCTGAGGAGCAGGTCGAGGGAAACGAGCCTGCATCATGGGGACCGAAGGGGTGGTAGAGGAGGAAGGGTGGGCAGCCTGTGATGGGTGAGGCTGTCTCAAAGCGAGGATCTCCGCCTGAGCCTGTGCAATGGTGGCCTGTAAAGTGACCACTCGCTGAGTGCGTGGAGTCGGGCGTGGAGGAGGCGGAGCGGGTCTCCCAGTAGGAGGAGGAATCCCAGCCTGGGCGGTACCCTGTTGTGGGGGTAGGGGGATGAAGGCGGGAAGAAAAGGGCGGACTCGTATTGCTGCGACCGGTGCGGGAAGCTGGGAAGCAACACCGGGGTGGGTCGATGAAACTGAGGGGCCAGATGGTGGTATCTGGATCGCAACACCTATGACAGCAGTAGAGACGGTAGGGGCGGCCGGGGCCGGGAGAACTGCCGCAACAGACGGGGTGGTCTGAGCGGCAGCAGCACTCGCCACTGCTGAGGGGGAGGGTTGGTCCTGGCCCGCAGAGGAGGGGGAACCACGATGTCTCCGTCTCTGGAGTCGTGGGGAGTCGGACTCGGAGCCGGTAGGGGATGGGGTGTGGGAGCGGTGGGGAGAGCGATGAGGGGAGCCCTTGACGCGGTTGCCGTTGAGGGCAAGCGCATTGATTTGCGCTTGCAGCGGTCCAAGCATACTAAGTTGTGCCTGGATTGCTACAAGGACGGCATGAAGGTCCATGGTGTCCGCATGGGCCTGATCATGAGCCGCTGACGACGCGCTGACCTGGGGTGTGGACTTCGCCGAGGCGATCTCCTCCGATGAACTCTCTTCCATGGCCGGAGGGGGAATGGAGATAGTCCTCAGAGGAGTGTGTGGGGAAAGGGGTCCATCGATAAGAGGAAGGGGACCGCGGGAGCGGAGTGAGTATGTGTGAGTCGGCTCGCTTCGGATTTTGCGGGTCGCGCGTGAGACGAAGGCGCCGAACCGCTCGAGGGGGGAGGATCCGTCCGGGTCCAGGGTGCCCGACAGGAGGAGGCGGGAGAGTAGGAAGGGGAGGGGGAGTTAGGAGAACCCTAAACCCTAGAAAACCCTAACTGGAGCTTAGGTGGTTAGGGAAGGGTAGCGGCGACCTAATCAAGAAAAAAAGATAATATGGAGGGGAGGGGGAGAGAAAATAGAATAAACAATAAAATTTCGAGATAAAGATAAAACAAAAGAAG